CTTTGGGGCTGTCAATTTCCCGTTTGTAATCTAAAATGACTGAAAATTGCAAATTTCGCAAGGCTATATTTTCCGCATTTTACAACATTTTGCAACGAAACTTTGGAATATTACTAATTTTGTGATGCTCCTTCAAGCTGTGATTAAATTTTTGTCTAGACTTGTTTAGTTCAAAATTTAGTCTATTACGCAAATGGTCAATTTACAGCTAGTGATTTATAAAGTGATTTTGAGTGAAAAACGCAAACTATTGTGACTGTGTTGGATTGACCTTTAGCCTCTAACAGGATTCCCGACAGTTAGATACAATCACTCCGAGGTCTTTAGTAGCAGTTACCATTTGTAGATATTGCCCCCCAAGGTGATACTCAGGTGCATTAATGCTTAGCTTCACTTTTGCAAGGGTTACTTTCCACACATGCATGAAACACACAATCTTGACAACAAAGTACTGTAGTTTAGTTTAATTTTATAGTTATAATTTTAGTATTTTAATGATATATATTCCGTAAAATAGTTTCTACTGGCTGCCGAAAGACTCGAGGTCTTGACAATCTGCTGACCACAGACTCAAAGTCTTGACAACATAAGTTTCAACTACTCACAGTATAAAATCTAAGTTTAAATTATTAGTTTAATGTTCAATTACCCAGCCAGCAAAGTGACATCGAAACGACATTAGCGGATGTCGTCGAATCAATGTCGAAAAAGGGTTGAAAATGCAAATGAATTGACGTTGATTAATCGACGTCCTTAACCATGTCTAGAAATCGATGTCGTTTCCAGGTTGCATTTTCGAGGTTGTATCGATGTTTTAAGCCTATTTTCCACTTCAACTGTATCGTAGCAAAGCGTATTTCTTTGTTTTCTGAGTACTAGAGTGGAACTAATGAACACAAAAGAAAATGCTATGATACATTACGATACGGTCAAAGTGGAAAACTGGCTTAAAAGCAGCCGAAAATGCAAATTGATCGAAATATAAATATAGTTCATGTATATGCTACCAATCTGTTCTTGCATTGTGTTTTTCTTGTCTCTCACCGCCTTACCTACCAAGAGCAGGCGGTGTGCATACTACGCTCCGTCCAATTATGGGTAGCCGTATTTCCTGCTTCGAGAGAAGATGGCGGCATTTTAATTAAAATATGGTAAGTTTGGACGTATATTCTCGTTATGTTTCTTTGATATTTATTTGTTTAATTAAACTTCTAATAAAGTTTAATAGTTATAGTGTTCATTATTGTATTTTGTTTATTGTTTTTGGCGAAAGAGAGTATAAAAAATCATGTACATGTGTAGCATGCTATTATGACGTTTGACGAGTCATTTTATATCACTATTTGTTCTTGCTATGTTGAGTTGATGGAGGACATATTTTATTCCAATTATGCTGAAATAGTTATAAGAATATGTGATGAAAGACTTAGACTGAACACGCCCCAATGCACCCCACATTTTGACAGTGAATTGTTATCCAAAATTTATTGAATTTTATTATTTTTATCAGAAGTTGTATCAGTAGCAGAAAAGCGATTGTGTGTTCCAGAAGGCAATACCCTGGGAAAACCGCCTGCCAAAGTCCGCACATGGACAGAATCAGAAGCTTCTCATAAGAGATGTTTGTTTGGGAAAGATAATATCAGTACAGAAAAGTCAAAATGGACAACTTCCAAAGATTCTGCTATTGTCCAGTATATATGTCTTTACTGGGAATATGCCCACAAAAACAAATGGCCAACAATGAAAAACCCTCATTTTTGGGATGGTTGTGCACAAGCTGTAATGAACATATGCAAAACAATGAGAACTGGTGAGAGCAAGTATTTCTTTTATGTAAGTGAATAATGACAAGGGTGTACATGCCAAACAGTTCAATGCTCATTGCATAATTGTTCTTAATAGTGGTAGTAAAGATGCAAATGAGTCAGCCCACCAAGCAGGATGAAATGTTCTGAGGTTTATCACAAGTCATATTTATCCTCTTAATGACCTGTTTCTGTAATAATTCCATATGATTCTACTACAAAGTGTGACTTTATCAAAATGTTTTGCCTCAATAGGTGGAGCATGTCATTCAAGAGTGAGCAAGTATTTGGCAAAACACCATCCCATCCTTACAGAAGCAGAAGATGCTCTTGGAATAGACTATGTGCTTGAAACTTCAAATGATACCAACTTTGTAGACCATATCT